ATGAAACCGGGGTTGTTGGGTGGGGAATTTAATTCTCCATCGAACAGCATTAGTTTCATTCCTTAATGTTAATTAGGAGCAGAGATACGATTTTTGAATTAGCGGGCGAGTTGTCGGGAGTCACTGCGCCGAGAAACCATTGAGTTTTTCATAGCGCCGCGCATTTCGTCGCAGTTTTTATTTTTTTATTACAGAGATTAAGGAATGAAACGGAGGTTGATGAATGGGGAATTTAATTCTCCATCGAACAGCATTGGTTTCATTCCTTCATGTTAATTAGGAGGGGAGAGACGATTTTTTAATTAGCGGGCGAATTAATGGAGAAGCGCTCTGCGCCGAGAAACCATTGAGTTTCTTATAGCGCGGTGACTTTCGTCGCAATATTAATTTTTTTATTCCAGAGATTAAGGGATGAAACGGGGGTTGATGGATGGGGAATTTAATTCTCCATTGAACAGTCTTTGTATCATCCCTTAATATTAATTAGTCGGCGAATAAATCAACTGAAAAACATAAAGTAAACATTGAGTACAAGGAGGAAAAAAATCCCCCTCCGAACCTGTCCCTGTCACAGCAGGACTGCTACTGCCGAGTTACTCACGCACCCGACTCACATTTACCGACAATTCGACCGGAACGCCGCCTTTCCCATGGGGTACCAACTAACTTTTTTGGAGTCAGTCAAACCCCCCGATCCGGGCCTCTACTCAGGTCTATCCTCTTTGATCGAACGCTTCTTGAGTTCAACAATGTGACATAACCTTCACTGCACTCAAACACAAAATTACTTACAAATAATATGTCCAATTTATGTTGTCAACTGTTAAGGATGCACTCCAAACGACTAATACGGTATTTATCATCCATACCGATTGACCTTTCATGTGCATTATTCAGCTTTATGTCATGCTTCCTGGGGTGATGAAAAGTAGAATCTAAGTTGCATTTAATTGTATTGTTGAATTATTTACAGATATTCTCAACCGGTTCGACATAAAGTAGGGCAAGGAGCTTATGAAGGTGAAGGGAAAACTACAGTGACGATCCTGAATAGAGATGCTGATTATGGACTAATGATTGACAAAATTTCAATGGTAAATTTTATTTCAAATCTTTGCAGAGAATTTTAGAACTTTGACATACTCAGCGCACTATTGATCCAGAATATTTTTCTGGTTCTGTATCACTTAGATAGTAGTATCTATTCAGCTTTGATTTACAATTGCCACCAATTTTATTACCATACCATTCTATGGCACTTTCATATGGATATGATAGTTATCGTCAGAGCAAAAATTTTGAACCCCTGTCAGCGATAATAATTGTAAAAAGTTCATCGTAGGGTAAATAGGTCAATAGGGTAGGCGGAAAAAATAGACCAGGAAAAAATAGCCCACACCCACAAAACATGTTAAAACCCACCCAACTTAAAAATTTCCCTTGGTCTATTTTTTCTTTTCCTTGGTCTCTTTTTTCCATGGTCTATTTTTTCCGGAATTCAATTTCTAGACGGGGGTTAGACTCTGGACGATTTCAACTTGCATTGAATATTCTGCAAATAAAATGAAAATTGAGCTGATTATTTTACCTTTCAATAATATTCGGGGAGGGTAGGGTAAAATGGGCACTAGACTTTTTTTAGATTATTCATAACTCAGAAACAAATGTATCAATAGAGCTCAGTTTAGGCTCATCACAACGGAAAAGAATTGTTCTTTGTATTGAAAAAAAAATTATTAAATTTCATCAATATTTCAACCCGTCACTAACATTTTTTAAAAAGTCACGTATCCATTTTACCCCAACCTTCCCTACTCGTGTATAATGTGATCAATAAGGCCAGAGACTTCATTTAAGAAAACGGCTATTATCAGAAGTTGGCTCCAAATAGGTGATTGAAGTCAGCGACAAGTAGGGCTGGGAAGAAATTGAAACATTGATGTTGGAATTTGTCATAATTCATTGATNCGGAAAAGAATTGTTCTTTGTATTGAAAAAAAAATTATTAAATTTCATCAATATTTCAACCCGTCACTAACATTTTTTAAAAAGTCACGTATCCATTTTACCCCAACCTTCCCTACTCGTGTATAATGTGATCAATAAGGCCAGAGACTTCATTTAAGAAAACGGCTATTATCAGAAGTTGGCTCCAAATAGGTGATTGAAGTCAGCGACAAGTAGGGCTGGGAAGAAATTGAAACATTGATGTTGGAATTTGTCATAATTCATTGATTGGAGGGTTATTTTGTTGACGGAGTGAGGAAAAGCGTTTGAACGTGAATTGGCTGTTTCGAAGAGGGTCAATGGGAGATCTTGGTGATTTCTTAGGGTTAACTTACCAGGAGAGTTATCGGGTTCTTTCAAAAGGGGATTAATGGAGGCCATGGTCGAGGGGAGATCTTGGGGGTCAGTTCCCAGGACAGCCCGCAGGGTATTTTAAGGGCGGGGGGGG